GTTCTGATCATTAAGGATTTTCAGGAAAAATGAGTTAGGGGCTGTTTGTTTTTTGTGTGAAGATCTGCGCAACCACTTTTGTCTGCGTCGCGCAGACAACGCGCAGACATATGCCATCGCAGATTGTTTGTTTTTTGGAAGTGCGCAAATCAGAAAATGTCTGCGCGAGGTCTTCCTGGCGCAGACATGGGCCACTGTCTTCAAAGGTCTTCAGATCTCATTTTAACCTAAACCAAAAACAAAAAAAAAAAAAAAAAACATGGCCATCGTGCAGTTTTTTTTTCTTTCATTTTTTTGTTAAAATATATTTTTAATGTTTATAACATGAAATTAAGTTTAAAAATTCAATTTATTTTAACGGCTTGCTGACGTTAAAAACAAACAGTTTTCTTATTGCAGACTGCAGATATTTGGTCCACCTCTTCTGCCGCAGAGGCTTGCAGATGTGGTCCGCAGACTGCAGACATTTTGACTTAAAAAAAACAAACAACACCTTAAAGTCATGCTTAGATGCAAACTTGCATTATGATCGTGGGAAAAATATCAGAAGTTGAAATTTTATCTTCTAAGGTACTTAACGAGGTGTTTGAAATTTCTCATCTATCATAAACTTAGGAAATCAAAACAGAATCCAAATGAAATGAAATAAGAGGATGTCAGTCACCAAATCAACAAAAATGTTTCAGGTTTCATGATCAAGAGAGAGAGAGAGAGAGAGAGAGAGAGAGAGAGAGAGAGCAGACGCTTGTGTTGACTGTTGTTGATGCATGTATGTGGATGCGTCGATTTTTTAACATCCTGAACAAAAAATCAATAAAAAACATAATAGATGAGAAAAAGATAGAGAATTATATATAAAACCTTATACCGTAACTGATTTGGTTGAGGTTTCCTTGGGTTCCAAGATGAAAAAGGCACACCATTTTGCTTAATTTTTATTACCTTGAATGTGGTGGTTACGGAGGACTGACTCGAAGGCTGCAATTGACAAATAACCACATTACAACATTTTAATAAATAAATCCAAGCCTTATGAGATTTTGCATATTATATTTATTTATAATGGTTACCTCCATCATGCTTTTGCACATACCACCACAAAATCAAGTCAAGACATCATGCTCAAACAATATTCATGTTATTTTTTTGTCATATTAATGATTATTAAAAAAACAATCAACATCAAGAAACCACCAGTAACCTTGCATGTCTTGCAACTTCAGCCTTAACCCAATTATGCCACAAAAGTTGTCTCCATGCAAAAAAAAATCATAAATTTATGTAGCCATTTCATAAAAACTATTAAAAATAGGTTTTATTCCTACTTTAGTTTAGGGGTTTTGTGCATATGCATAATGGAATTGACACAATGTGGTGATATATTTTACCTCAAAAACATAAATAAAAAAACTTTTGAGAATCAATGTTTTTAATATCTTGTAATGATTATTAAACACAAATTACACGATTTAACTTACTTTTGCTACTGTAAGACCAGTTAGGCGTGGATGTGGTGATCTTGTAGCAAAGAGCCCATTTTTTCACCTTTCAATCTTGGTACTCTTACCTGCAACATTTAATGTGGATGCAGATTTAAAAAATAATAATAATAAAGATTGAGAGAATTAGACAAGAGATACACATTACGCACTTTTGCTTTCAACTTTGACATAGATGGATGTTTCGTTGCCACCATAAACCAAATTACACAAAATACGTTGAAAAAGAAGAATGTGAGAATTAAGAAAATCATCCAATTTCCATATGATCACGAACCATATATACATCGCATTTGATTCATGAAATTGACATAAAAAAATTGAGTATAATTCTAATAGACTACCCAAACACACCTGGTTATAATGATTCACAGAATCAGGATCGACTAACATCATCCAAAAGCAAAGAAATAATCTGAACAAAGTCCTGTATGAAACATTCAGCAAATCCATCAAGGGAAAAAAAATAGAGTAAGAACATAATGAAACTCTTGAATAACCCACCTCGATCCGATTTATAGTGTGAGATGTCTGGTGGCGATGGTGGAGCCACTTTCGGGTTAGGATTTCCAGTCAATGGTGTGCGATGGTGGCAGCGAGATAGAGTTAGGGTTTCTCGTCTCGACATAAGGTAGAAGCGGGCAGCCGACGTCAGTGAAGGTAACGGTAGGAGGGTGGTGGTAGCGGAGGCTGCCAAAGATTGAAGAGCGTAAGGAGGGAGACGGGTGAGATCTGCGAGAAACGACGGCTGATGGACGATATTAGGGTTTTCCAGTATCTATACATAGTAGAAGAACTTAAGACTGTAAGTTAAGATGATACATAGCTTACACGCTTGGATTCTAAGCTTAATAGGATTGTACATGGTGTTATAAGAGTTATACCTCTTAATTTTCAAGAAATAGGCAATATGTTTAATAATATAGTAAATATATATATATATATATATATATATATATATATATATATATTAATTTGTGTTTCATTATCATTGTTCGTTTATGTTCTTTAGCATGTTTACGAATATAAACGAACGAACATGAACATGGTAATTTGTTAAACGAACAAACATAAACAAGAAAACTTGTTCGTTTATCCGTTCGTGTTTGTTCACTTGTTCGGCTAACTAAAATGAACAAATATAAACAAGTTCTTGTTCGTGTTCGTTCGGTTCGTTATGAACCTTATGTAAAATTGATGAGTATTGCAAAAGTTATTTGCTAAATCGTAAGGTAATTAAAATGATCATGGGTTTATTTGGTCTAAAAACAAAGTAGGTTCTATGTAGCCACATTTAATCTAAAGGGTATTCAATAGTTTGAGCATATAAGACATCTTTATAAGATGTAAAGTTTTCAAGTGGCATAATTGGTACAGGCACCGATATCTTTATTTGAAGATTTTGTTCTAATGATATCTTTAATGAAACAACTTAACAGTTTGGATTCTGATTCCTTTATCTATTTTTTTAGAGCTTTTACCAATATTCTTGTTTACACATTGGTTAGCATTTAGCAATAACCACTCCATGCTTTCCCTTTTCTTGTCATGGATTCCACTCTAGTCACCATTTTCTTCCTTTTTCTTATCATGACACCATTTTCAATATATTTTTTCCTATTTTTTTGTTAAATTCTGGAATACTAAGTAAGCTTTTAGTTTTTTCCACAACCTATTCAACTACAAGCTTTCCATTTTAATCCATATTGAAGAATTTGAACTCAACTATATAGTTTTGATACAAGTATTTTGGATTGATGTGACCATATCCAAATTATTATTTTAGATTGTGGATTTATTTTGGGTACTAAAATAACAACCGAATATTACAAAATAACCAAAATAGCTCATTTTTGTTTATTATATTTCTTTTATTTTTTATTATAAATGGTTAATATATTATAAATTTATTGGAACTTTTTTTATTATATTAAATGCATAGACCAAATAAATAAATAAATAAATAAACTTACCGTGCACTTTTAGAAAAATGTTTCTAACTTCAAATTCAAATGTATTTTTAGTAAATTTTCAATTCAAAGTTGTTTTAATCATTATAATAAATAACTCTGTATAAATTATTATATTGTTACCTTAAAAAACAAAAAACAATATTTGATGATTTAAATAATTACAATGATAAAAATTAAAAAGTTAAGCAACTATATTTAAAAAAGTAATTAACAATAATAATAACTATAAATAACATTAAACCATATTTTATATTTAATTTTATTCATAACTAACCTACTGCTAGAAATCATTCAAACGATTGAAATTATGTAGTTTTTAATAGATGTATATATTATCATATAATTCAAAATAATTAATATATTATATCAACTTACTATACAAATTATTTTATTAAATTTAACTACATCGTTATTATTATATTTAAAAAACATATATTTGTAAAGATGTCAACTATATAGATGTTTCTGCGCAACGCACGGACATTCGCCTAGTATACTTATAAAATAGGCATTTTTAATTGCACCACATGCATTTGAAACATCTATGATTTTTCAATTTCTTTCTAATAATCATTATAAATTGGTTAATAATGTTAAATTAATACAAAAACTAAATTCTAATAATAAATTAACTAAACTACAATATTAAAATATTATATTTTACTTCTATTTATAAAATTATGACTTTAACTTTTTAAAATATAATAGTCAACTTATTAGTTAAGATATGTTGTCGTATACGAGTAATTGTTATTTTAAAATCAAAACTTTTGTATAATTTATGATTTTATGCAAAATAGTTAAATTATTAATTTCAATATAATTTAAAATCATCAACCTAAATCAAAACTTCAGTTAACTAGAAAAAAAAATCAAGATACTGCTTTATAAATAGTTAAAAGTTATAACTTATAGTGTGAAATCTAAATTATAACCCTAAACTAATTTTAACAACCATCAAACTATTTTTTAATCATTAAGAATTTTCAAATGATTAGTTTAACAATAACATACAATAAAAATAGTTAAAAGTAATATTATATAAAAAAAATTATAATGTTATCCTTAAAAACAAAAAAAAATTTGTTGTTTTAAATAATTACAATCAAATAAACTAACAATATTTATCAAAAAAGTTTTAAAAATATTAAATTTATGAAACCAAATTTAAATAATTAAGAGTTTCCAAATAAATTATTTTAAATAACGTACAACAACAATAGTTAAATAATTACATTTAAAAACAAAAACAATATTTGATGTGTTAAATAATTACAATGATATAAATTAAGATCTTAAACAAATAAACTTTTCAAAATTAATTAATCATAACAACTATAAATATCTTTAAACCATAACAACTATTAACACAATTAGGATTATACAATTTTAAAACATATCTACATTATCATATAATTTAAAACAAATAATGTTTAAACCAACTTATTATAAGATTTATTGTATACTAAAAACTAACAGCAACATATAATATTTAAAAAAAATATATTGTAAAGATTTCAAATATAGTGTTGTATTTTGCTCAAAATGCAGGTATTCGTCTAGTTCATCAAATAAACCCCAAATCAAAAAGATTCCATTGACATTAAAATATAAATAAATAAAAACAAGATTGTTTATGTACATTTTCAAGTTTAGCCGTGTTTAAACTAAAACAACATCTATGTGACAACTTCAACCAAAACAAATGTTATGAGTCCTCAAAATGATGATCAGTTTCATCAAATATCTCCTCCTGCATTTCACCAAAAAAAATAATAATAACATAAATAAAAAGAAAATGATAATTTAGAAAAAAAAATTGTTTAAATTTACCTGAAGTAATTCTTCGATGACATCTTCCATTGTTATTATCCCAACAGCTTCTTCTTCTTCAGGAAGTTTCGGAAGTGGTTTTCCTTCTATCTCCAAAATATCTGAATACATATCTTTACTCCACTTCTTACTCCTATACCCACCTCTATTAGAATTGTTCCCATTGTTCGGGAAACTCTTCCATTTCTGAAATGACCTTTTTGCCCTCAAGCTATTCTCTCGATCAACGTCTATCCGCACTTCCTTCTTCGCATCTATAATTTTTAGGTTGCAATAACTCAATACGTTAAAGCTAATAAATATTGTCAAAATTGTTGTAAGGGTAATATGGTCATTTAGACTCGTTCACACGGTTAATTTAGTCTAGAAATGAATAAGACCTTATGTATATATCACTTTATTCAGACAAACATCATTTATTTGTGTATCCCTAAATTGGAAGGCTTACCAGGCAAAGGACTTGTGGGGCCCACCTTCTCTGAGGTCTTGCTACATTGTCTCACAACAACTGCCATATGACTATGACCTTTTTGAAACTCATTTAAGATATCATACAATGGAAGAGTTTCCGGAACCCTAAAAGAAACCAACTATTTAATTAAAATATTATATAAATAGATAAGCAATTGGTAAAATACTAAAATGTCAGATAAATATGAAAATAACAATGTACTTTGGAATCCGGCGTATTGCGACGCTTTTTATAGGTACTTCATCTTCCGGATGGATGGTCAACAAATTTTTGACCTAACAAATCATAACCATAAATTTGAATATATATTATTATTTAATAAATTAAATGAATATTTCATATTGTAAATATTGCGGAATAGAATTTAAAATTTTATACGTTACCAGAACAAGTCCAATTATGTTGGTAGGTTGTTCGTAATAGATAGGTACTCTGCTATGCCCTTTTTCCAGGATTATATTCATTAAATCCCTGTTTTTGCAATAATAATAAAAAAGATGTATAATTATAATTCATAAAGATCTTAAAATAATGAAAAAAATCAAGAAACCTATCAAGTTTGGCATTTATATCAACTGAAAAAGTTTCAGATATAGGAGTCATTGCATCACTTGCTGTCTTTTCTGTGAGTTCAAGCGCTCCTGCAATTATTGTTGTCTCATCATGTGTCAATTCACCTCCCTTTCCAGCCTGTTTACATCATCACAAAATTAAAACACTTTTCATAACATAACATATTATACTGTATTTGACATACCTCGTTACCATGTAAATTGACAAGTGTCTTTAACTCGGCTCTTCGGAAAAGAGCAACGTGTTCATGACCCAAGAGATAGTCTAGAAGCTGATTTGAAATATTTTATGAATATTAGCAGAGTGAAATAGAAGTGTGTATGAGTATAATAGTATATCACCTTGCTTATTGGATACGCAACAGGAAAGCAGACCCAAACAAGAACACGAACAAATGGAGCTACAGATGCGCCAATAGCAAGTCCATATCTAGTACAAACAGATTGAGGTATGATCTGTGTATGATATATGTATACTTACTAGTTAGTTTTCTCGAGAGATTATTGATTTAGAGTTTAGATGATTAGTTGATTACTGAATACTTACCTCACCAAACAGAAGTATTAATGTCACTGAAATGAGGATAGCACCCCAAGCTGTCACTAGAGAATCGAGAAAAATAGGAAGTGCCTAAACAAGATAACAATCGATCCAAATTTGAAAAGTTATGACTATGAATGTAAATGTGAATCAACTTATTTGAATCGATAATGTCTTCAATGTACCTCCATTGCAGCAGCATTGCAAATCAGAAGAGTGCAAAGTAGTAAATGCTGTTTTCTGACCACTGGTAATATCTTCTCTGTTGCAACATAAAGTAATCGGATAGCAAAAAAAAACCCTAATAAGTTTAGGTATTGTAATATCCAGCAATCTTCATGTCTTGTAATGACTATGAGAGCTCAAAATTACAAGATGAGATGTCATAACAACTTTCGAAATCATCAAAAACTGAGAACTGTTAGAAATAGTGGAAGGAGTAGTAGATTAAACAATTAAACAAAGGAATCTATGAATCTAGAAGAGCTTGAGCCAAAATATAGGCATCAAAATCAAACCAGAAACAGAAACAAGTAAGGAAACTATTTAAACAAATACCTGCATATTTACGATCTTTCGGAGTACCAGATTTGGCAAGAACTTCAAGATCAACGAGACTCAAAGACATTAGCCCCAAAGTAAGTCCAGACATCAAACCAGCAAACAAAACCAAAAACGCAATGATCCCTATGTGCAAGAAGAACTGATACTCGCAACACTCATACTCCACCGCCATATATCAACACAATAGATTTCGTTCTTCTATTATCCTCAACTATATATCCACTATCCTCTGCTTCAGCTAGCTTCGAGGAGAATCCAAAATTGAAGTAAACTCTTCCTTTTTAGCACAATACGACAGTTTCAAGCTTCGATTCTCGATGATGAGGAATGTGTGTGTATATATAGTGAAATCGTGAAACCGACTTGCTGCGAGAGAGAGAGAGAGAGAGAGTGGAGGGAATTGTGGAATACGGTGAGAATGGCGTTAGATGTTGGGAAATTCGGGCAGGGGTACGGGCAGCTATGACTAGGCGAGAGCATGACCGTTTACATGGTTACGTGTCATTCCCTCCACAATTTTCACGCATTGACAAAAATAGATTGAACTATGCAATCGTATGTATAACGTTTATTTTTTTAGGACGTTATAAATAAAAAATAAAATAAACTAAACTTTTAAAAAGCAATTTAAATAGTTTTTTAATTACTATTTTATAAAGGTTTTTTTTAATTCTTTCATGAAACCATATATATCCATTATTAATTATAATAAACATATTTTTATATATCATTTTATATTTTATACTTTCCAGTTAGTTAAATGTTAACTTTTTAGTTATCGACAAATATTTTATGAATTTTCAGTAAATCATTATTTTTTTGATTTTGTATATAGTGATCACGAATTTTATAGCATGAGATACTTTGATATATAAAAGTCACAAAAATTGTCTTACAACACTACTTTTTCGTTTTTTTTTTAACGATAAATACATTTTGGAAACTTTTGCAACCATATATGGGGCTTAGAGGGGGCAAAGTAGGCAGCTAGATAGGGTTCAATTTTTTTCATTATATATTTTTATTTAGAAATACAAAATTATAATAAAAATAAAGGTCATTTTTTTCTTGTTCGTCCTGGACCTTTAAGAATATTTCATTTTTCAGGACCGGCCCTGCAACCATATCACACAATTTCGAAGTGGTTGCAAATATTACAGCGAACAAGACTTTTAGAACTTTAGTGTTTCCATTGTACTAAATATGATAAAATTTAATCTAAAAATGCAACTTCTCAATGCAATCTCGCATTGTGAAATTTGACTTTTCATATTAGTTTTTTTTTTAGATTGTATCTAAGTTTTGATTTAAATGTTATCATAGTCGATCAAACGAATTGGCAATGCATAGCAATATGGAATTATTTGAGAAAGCATATTGAACAATTTGTAGTGTGAGTTAATGTGAAAATGTCTAATGAATCTTGTACATGGTTTGTGTTATTTCATATGTTTGTCTAAGTTGCATATACTATTATTCGGATGAATGGATATGGACATATGGTTACATCTGTCATTGGGGAAATTTATTATTTGCACAAATGATCACCAAGAGAACAACAGTTTGTTTGTTTTGTGCATTTTTGTTTTTTAGCTTGTTATATGGTGGTCTAATTTATGTACTTTTTTATGTTGTATTATAAACAATTGTAGGTTGTTTGTGCTCGAGTTACAATCATACCAAGAAGAAAAACACCAAAGCAATAAATGAATTTGCAAGGTGTTTATGTTTTGCATCGAGTGGTGTTGAGTACATACAAGGAGAACATTGGACTTTCCTATCATTCGCATGATTTAATGCCATCTCTTTAGTTGAGGATGACCATAAAAGGAAGTTTTCAAAACATGTCATCTCTTCAAATATTGAAAGTGACTACATATAGAAGTCCTCAAAAAAGGACATGAAAGCTAGAGGTGTTAGAGTTATAGGTGAGTTGTCCTCAAATATCTCATAATATGGCCACAAAAGAAAGGCACATCGAGATAATTATGCTCTCCAGCCCTCTCTTCGCTTAAAAGTTAACATTTAGAAATGCAATTGGAAGATATAAATACAATAATGTTTTTTGTTTAATCATGTTTGCCACGTATTTAACAAAACTTTCCTATTCGAAAATATTCCCAATAAATCATGTTTATAAGTTTAAGCAAGTAGAATCCTAACCGGAGATCCATTTAGATATTTATGGTAGTCTACCAAATAACATTCAATTATAATATTTAAACTTTAAATCTCTATAATAATCATCTTTAAAACGTCTTAACGTTAAAATAAAGCCAGCTACACAAGAATTTACCTCTTAAACACCTAAATACAATTATTAAAATTTCTAAATTATGCATCTAATATACTATGCAATTGTATTTGAAGAGTTAAGGTATTACTGTAATCATCACAATTACATGTATGTATGAAAGCGGAAGTTGTGTCATTTTTATTGTTAGCATCCTAAAATTATGGTTAAAGACATTTTCAATTCATATACACCTAACCTAAAATGATTTAGAGTTGTTTGATAGTTGTCGATTAAATCAATACATGATTGGGTCATACCCGACCTTTTTATTAGATCCGTTAAAAGAACAAATCAGTAATTTCTAATTGTGGTATCAAATAGTCTATTTGACTGAACCAACACAACGTCCTACTGGATCTAGGGGTGTCAATTTATGACACGACACGACAAAAATACACAAAACGAAACGAAATCGAGACGAAATCAAAATTCGAATTCGCGTTCGTATCGTTTTCGTGTCAAGATTAAAAAACACGATGTCGTCTCGTGTCGGGTTCGTGTTCATAAATTGACACGATTAAGCACGTGGTTGTTGTGTTTTTCATGTTTGTCGTTTTTGTTGTGTTATATATCTTTAAGTATGAACGAAATACACTAATAGTTATGTAATATTATATTTTTCGTGTCGTGTTGTGTTGTCGTGTTTTAATTTGTTCGTTTTCGTGTTAATGAAAAAGAACACGACATCGTGTCGTGTCGTGTTCGTGTTATACAAAATCTTGTCGTATCGTGTCGTGTCAGACAAAAAACACGACACGACTGTCCGATTTGACAGCCCTTCCGGACCTAGTAAAAAGCATACCAAATAGCCCCTTAGAAACGTTATTTTCAAAAATGGTGTCCATACTTAACATCTTAAAGGTAGAAACCCTAATCATTTCTATCATTCATTTCTTTGTTGAGATTATACGTGTGAGATTTAAATTGGTTATAAACTTAGATTGCTTCATTTTGAAATGCAATTACTTATTTAGTCGTTATATTTAGTTGACCACATTTAAAAGATAAACAAATCCATTGACATTGAGTTTGTAACTTTATATTATACGCTATTATCTCAAAAAAACAAAATGTAACCCATTTTGTAAATGTGAAATCCAATGGAAAAAAGATAATTCCAATCCATATATTCTATAATGGTGATGGTGATTGAAGCAAACCACTTTCTCATGTGACATATACTTTATGCTTCTAAAAAGAAAAGGTTCCCTTAATGGCATTAGATGCTTTATTGATTGTATCAATGTCCATTAGAAGTTCATATCTTAGCTCTTGTTTTTGAAATTAAGTTTATAATCAACTAATAGTTTCTTGTTATTAATTATAGCCATCAATATTTTTAATTTTATTTTTCATTGAGTTTTAAATCTTAATCACCAATTTATCATGTGTTTAATTATTATTTTACCATCAAAACAATATATTTTGCTCTATGCTTCTATACCCCCACATAAAAATAAAAATAAAAACAATAAAATAAACCACTTATTCCAAAATTTTAAATAAATAGACCATGCCAAGTGTCGTAACATAGTTGGGTGCTTTTTTCTTTCTGTAACAACCAAAAGTTCAAAAAGTAAGATACATCAAAGTTGATAAATTTATAACCGCATACAATATACATTGGAAGTGGTAATATGCTATTGTTACTTAAAGATTTTTTGAAGCAACGTTGGATAGAAAGAATAGCATCCAAGTTGTTAAAAGAAGGTAAGAAGTGATAACATTTAAATAATATGTTATATTTAATAGTTATTATTTTGAAGAAAAAAAAGTTCCATTAATCATAGCCACCTTCTTTCTCCCTCTCCTCTCGTTACGTTCGTAACAAGCTTCACATAACGAGCCCCCTAGCGAGTGCTAGGACTTCCATTAGCCTTAAGTTGTCGATTTTGTTTATGTAGAAAACAATACAAAAATAAATTTATCATATAGGACAATTTAAATAAAAAAATAATTTATTACAACGTGGAAAGAGGCTCATAAATGATCTAAGTAAAGATTGTGAGTAAATGACGATGATGTGCCTATACAACATGATATGTATATCGTATTCACTTAAGGTAGACCCAAGCCATGGGTGACTTGGGCTACGGCTCACCGATCAAAACATTTATTCCATCTCTTATGTGTACACCTTTTACTTGGGCTAAATGTTTCGCCCTATACTTCAACAAGGGAAAGAGACATCACTTGGAAAGAAACGCGATAAATAAATAAATAAATAATAAAAAATAAATCAACGCCTAATTCTTAAGTAATTCAGAAGAGGAGTCTTGTTACTCGTTAGTTGTTGCAATCTGGAAAATCAACGTTGGCATTGCCTATGATCACTCGACTGACATTCAGGATTCAGTTATTCACGTTTCTAATAGTTAAAAAACAATCATTTGAGTCTTTTAGATTTTTAGTTGCGTTCATAAATTTTCATAAAGATTTCTAGTCTTTGAGAAATGAGTATGTGGAAAGCGGAATTCAAGTTCTTCTAGTTCTTAGTTTTGATTAATGGTGTTTCTGATATGGAAATATTAGGACGACAAGGACCACTAAGTATGAGGTAATTTTTTATTTCTTATTTGAAAATCATGCTTTTATAGTTTTCTTGTTTTGAATTCTAATTAACTATTGTGGGTGCTAATTAACTAATTAGTGAAATCACTATTTTTTGAATTCTAATTAGATATTTTGTTTTCTGTTGGTAATTTTTTTTATTTGATTAGTGATTTTCATTTTCTTTGTACACCTATTTGCTTGATTGTTTTTTTTGAATCGATGCTACCGTGCTCATGATTGGTTTTTAAGAAAGTAGATAATAAAAATTGCTTTTCATTTTAGGGGGTGTTTGTGAGTGCTATTTGAATTCTAAAAGGGATTTTAAATAAAAGTTATAGTTGTGGGTGGGTTTTTTAAAAAATGTTTGACTTGGTTTTTATAGTGAAAAAAATCAATAAGTCAATAATTTAAAAAATGTTTGGTTAAAAAATATTTTTTGAAGTTATTTTGGTTAAAAAGACAAAAATAATTTAAAAAATCAAATTTTACATGTTTTTTGAAACTAATAGAAAAGTGTTCTTGAGTTTACCAAACATTGTTTTTGATTTTTTAGCTTTTCAATGAACAAATAAATCAATAAGTTATTTTAAAAAACAATCACAAATATCCTCTAAATTGCTATGTGGCCTACTTGGTATGCTATTGTGCTTTTGACCTTAAAATTTTGATTGGTTATAGCTCTTGTGAACTATTAGTACCATTTCCCATTAACGATATTTGTTTTGAATAAATGTCTTTGATATT